GAGCTCATGTAACGATTATTCATTTACAAACGTTTGATATATGTGATTTTTTTTCGACAAAATTTGTAAATGCATGAATAAGTCTACAGTTATAGTTTGTTGGTTATATTTTGCAACACTTTTTTTACAAGACATGGAGAAATCATGTTCTTTATTTTCATATTAGGTCATCCCAATCATTCATGGATATATCTAAAACGTTTCCTTGAACACGTTTTGCAAACCTTATTCCTTCACTTACTCTCTTGTACTTTTGTCTGAAAAAGTTGATTTTTTCTATCTGATCTTGCGACGAAATGACATGAAGGTTAGAATTAATCCACCAAAAAACTACTGGTCGATCAAACTTTATTCATGAAAATTTATAGAAGATACAATCAATATATATAAGTTTACATATATGTACATTTTTTTTCAAGAAGCCATCTTCATCTCTTAAGCATAGACTGCAGTTTTGGATATATCTTCCTCTTTCCGCTTTTGAGCGAAATTTTTCTCAACTGAGAGTCGTGCGGATTTTTCCCAACTGGGAAGAGACGGTGTCGATTATCCAACATATCATATCTTTCAATCGAAGGCTCTTGTTCTATTGTAAAGTTACTTTTGTGCTCCGTTTCATTTGTGAAATCTAACTTCATACTTGAGTGTTAGATCTCGATTAAGTACATTTGATGTCCTCCTAAATCCTCCAACTAGTCATACACTCTCATGTTGAGTTGTCACATGTAATTCAACTTTGCTTACTAACCGAGCTCTATGTCCACCTATTTATAGAGGATGTTTATTCACTTATTGTATTTTTTTTTTACATATTGATATATATATCAATATATCAATCACGTATATTTTGATCATGTACTAGTCAACTACAAAAGTGATAAGTTCATAAATTTACATCAATTCCAATGACTGTTTTGATTGAAGTCCACTCAACTTTTTATCCTTTCTAGAGTCCAATTTCCTTGTAAGTAAGATATGGAATCTTGATTATAGTTTATATATTAAGGACACAGAAATTTTTTAGTTCTATTTAAGAGAAAATGAATCAGATGAGATTCAGATTTTAAAGATTCAATTGAAAAAAAAAAGAAATGAAAAAAATAAATATCATGTATGCAATCTACTTTCACCCATAGTTATTCCGCATAAAATTAATTTTCAATAGCTCAACTTCTAATGTTCTTGTGAAATATTCATGGGAAAGTTCAGGAGTTACTTATATAAAACCCCAGAAAGGAGAAGGAATCATAAGTAATGATAAGAATGCATATGGACTACTTCCAAATTCCGTTCACGAGGGTAAAACAGGAGAATCGTGAAACAAATCCTTGACTGAAAGCTTCAACGTCAAACACGTAAACTCATTAAGATAAGGCTTGACTCTGAGAGAAGTCTTCAAGGGTCGATGAAGTTGACTCTGATGTTGAGTGAGCCCTGCATGAGCCTGAAGTACTACGAAGAAACAACGTATCAACTCGAAGGTACACCTCTTGCGGTGTCGTCTCCTGTCCCCAGTCAGTGCAAGTGGATGCAATACTGCCGGAGCAAAGGGTGACGAACGAGATCTCCTGGCTGGTCAAGCCCAGGATTTACTGTCCCCAGGAAGCTTTTTGCAGCCTAGTTTTGACCTCCTCGTGAGAACCGTTTCCTAGCGTAGGGGAGAGTGTCATGGCTACAGCGTGACGAATTTCAGATCGCTCGTAGAGGTTAGATTTACAGGCAGAGTAAAGTTTGGTATGAAGTCAACTGTCCTGGGATTGGGCAACTGACTGGTTCAGCTCGTGACGAGTACTTCACAGAGTGGGCCTCTTTGGGAATCGAATTTGTAGCCAGCCCGTTCTGATCAGCAGTTTTGATCATGTTCATGAGGTTTGTGAAAGTGATGACGATCGGAGTGTGCATTTGCTCATCCATATTTCAGTGCAGCTGCTGCATCTCAGATGCTGCAGGGCATTTAGAAATCCATCTGCGCTTTCAGTTTTAGTCAGAGACAGCGAACTAAGATATCATCGGTTCATGAAGAATGAATGTCCACAAGATTACTCTCTTACATCGTCACTCAATTGAAACTCTCGTCTCGACAAATGATGCTCCACAGTCCACCGATCCTAACAGTCAGGCTATCTCTCACATTCCTACGCTGAGCTTTCACATCTTCAGATCAGAATCTCTCTGTCTGGTCGCCCTACTTATACTCTCAAGGTTCAGACGAGAAGAGACCACCCAAGAATCTGCCACCCAATTTATATGCTGATGACGGACGATGTCTTGAGTGTAAAATAACTTTGTTTGTCGCTACATGCGACACAAGGCAGTGAGTCCAACGATGGGTCTTTGCATCTAATATCACCTTTCTAATTATTTGGTTTTGTGGTAAGCCTTCACAACATGGAGACGTACTTTTGAAGAGTCTCCGTAAGTAAATATGTCGATCCTGGCACGAACATGGTGTTCTATGACTTGCATCCTGGAAAATCGTTCGCATCATTCATCAAATCTTATTTCTGTACGTGGATGAACTTCCACCTGCCAATGAATGTCTTTTAGCACTAGAAAGCAGGTAATTCTGGATCCATGAGTTCAATAATCTGTCCAAGGAGGAGCATTTCACTGGCAACCTCGATTTCGTACCGTGAATTCAGACGTTCAAACTTATTAGAAATGCGAAGACTTTGTCCGAAGATGTCTAATCTGTTCAAATGAAGGTGTCAGCCAGCGAAATTTACGGTTCTCCCTGCTTTCGATGGAATGGATCCAACATCCAAGTCATCTGGATATACTTTGTGCTACCCGGGCAAGGACTTGAGTTGACTCCGGTGTCTTATAATGTCCTATGTTTAATAGTCCAAAGGGTATTCAATGGACAGTCAATGTCACAAGCTGGTTCAGTCCATAAAGCAACAACAAACTTCTTTCAGAAAGCATAATTCCATTTTATGAACTGATAATAATTGTTTCCACTGTATTCACTCAGACATGTTTCTCGAAAAACTAAATCAATTCTTCTTCGTACAATGTTCTGCGGTAGGCAGAAGGATATAATTGTCTCGCATGTTCCCTTCAATTGACTATAAACAAGGTACCTAGTAGCTTTTGCGAATAGTTACCGACCTGTGTTTAGGCCGCCATTGATGTCGTTTCAGTGCACCACAAGAATCAAAATTGTTTCGAACTCAATGTCTCGCTTCAGTGTGTATTCGCTGACAGTTTGAATGGGGCTCAAGAGAAAGTCTCTCGGACGTCTTGTACTTGCTTAATGTAGATTACTCTGCTCCAGGTACACTCAGAAATCTTCGCATACATGTGAGCTTGGAGAGTTTCATTGACGGTTGTCAGCTGTGAAAGTAACAGATCTGGTGGCTGTGTCATGTAGTTCAGCGATATCGGACAACTTTTTTAGCGATCACTAAGAAATGAAGATTCAAATTCTCACTTGAAAGACAAATTCCTCGAATCTAGTGACATCTGGCAATGAGTAATTCCGATCCGGCGGATGTATACTCCTAAACATACGGAGAGATATTACTAAAGGCAGATGTAACTCAATAGATGTCACACTCAATACATCTTGACAGAATCCTGAAGTCCAGGTCAATGATTGCGGACCTGGTCGCCTTTTCAAACAGTTCTCGAACATTTGGACTTTTATCTGAAACCACCAACTTTTTGGTTCAAGATAATACTTGACTTGGTCTGCATTCGCACGTATATGGTGGGAATGGGGACAAGCCCGACCCAACTTATAATAGATGTTTCATCATAGACCTGGAAAAGATCCCTTCATAAGTGACCGAGTAGTACTTCAGATCAACTGAAATGAATATTATTGAAGAGATTCAAGTATTATTATCCCCAATATTGTATCAACTAAAACGAATATCATCATTGGTAACTAAGAGATGATCCATTTCCTTTGTTTGATAGGATTCTCTGTCTCAATTGAGAATTTAGAGAGATGGGAGAAACCTTTGATGAGCATATATATTTCTCAACGCGTTCCAGCGTCTAGTTATTATGAGTAATACATTAGTTCAGATCTGAATATTTGCTTTCTAAGAAAGGAAAACAATCACGTTAGGCTGAAGTCTGGCTCATATTCTACTGTTGCAACACAAGATGAAGCATTTGTATTCATGGAGTGATTCACATTCGACTCAGACGATTCAATCATTACCAAATTATTTGAACTTAGATTTCACGTTTTGTCTAGTTAGGATGATATAATTGTGTCTGAGTATGCAGTATTGTGTCAATCTTCTTTCACCCTTCATTCAAAATGTACGGACTAATTGTTGTTGTATGCACATCATTAAGTACAGCAAAAATTTGTGGAGGCCGTTGTGAAATTCACTGCAAAAGAATAATGAAATTTGGAATCTTTTATCCGATGATCTAAATGGAGCCTGGAAATATACCCAATTGAAATTTCTTACAAATCAGGTATGGGCCACTTGACCCACTTGATAAAAAACTCAGTCAATGAACGATGAAGTTGCCCCAAATCCTTTTTAACCACGTTTCACTGCAACGACTTTTGTCTCTGCCTGCTTCAAAAATATTTGTATTTCTGGTAGAAAATTGAAAAGACATGCAAGCACTCGTCCACTCTGCACGAGTTTACCCACACAAGGACGAACTGTGACACGAAAGACACGCCTGGCCACTCGAGCCCAAAGCTTTGCATCAGAAAGAATCATTTCGGTAAAAATAAAGCAGCTGCGAATGACCTCACCGACGACTTTCATCTCCACTTTAAACGCGTAAACCCATTGTCTAAGCTGGAGCCTATAATATGCAGATTTCAGTATATTCAGGTTTTAAAAGCAGAAAGCCCCAGCCTGAGACAGAATAGCACTCGGTTCATGGACTGAAAGTCATCTTGCCTGACTCAGAGAATCGTGTCCTGTTGGTCTCAGTTGACTCACACTCGTGTCGTTGACCTGTCGTGTCGACATGCTTGTGCAGACTGTGGATGACATAAGTACATGTTGCATATATATACTTGGGAGTCACAATGTCCGCAGTTTGAGAGAGTGAGAGCTTTCGACACTCTACGAAAACCTCGATCGTGTGTGATGAAATGTCCACCGCCAGTGTGCCTCGACTCACGATGAAGCGATCGGACATGAGCTCTCGATCGTCTGCAATCCGTCTGTTGGTTTCGCTAATTTTCCTCAGCTCGCCAGACCTGATGCCTTCCTGGAACGCTAGCGCTGAACTGGCTCCTGAAGAGGGTACTCCACTACCTTCTTTCACGTGTGGCCTCCGCATCTATGGTTTCTATGGTTTTAGAATTTCATTGCTTTGAACTGCAACGTTTTGCTTTCTCGTAGCAGGGAGAAAATCCCCTGCTGTAATTGTTTACTGCCATTTCAAAATGTACAAGCTCGATTCTTCACAATTTTGGAATCCATGACGGATCGGAGTTGCCCGATATTGTGCAGAAAATGCACTCCAGGTTTTGAGGCTGAAATTTAATTTGCCCCAGTGGTCTGGTGACCCTTGCGTGAGCGACAATGTCAGCTGGATAACGTGCTCGAATTCGAGCAGTTCCAGTTCCAGCAATTCTCAGTTCACAAACGTTGTAGAGATGTGAGTATAATGTCCACTTTACGACCTTTCAGTTTCCCTCTCCAGTTGACTTCGTCAGCGCTGATCAGTTTGCCGTCGACATTGACAGAGCTTGTAACCAACTAAGGCGTTGGCATGTGACAGTGATCTGAAGACCCGAAATCTGTCGGGGACCATACCTGTGGAGATATTGCAGCTGCGGCAAACACGTATTCTGTAGGTTACTATTCGAATTGTCAGCTTGATAAGCTCAGCTCAGTTCTATGATCAGTGAATCAATGATATTTCCAGCGAATGCTCTGATGGTCTTTTCCCAACATGCGCCAGTGTGCTTTTGAAGAAGCTCTAGCATTGGGGGCACCGACTGTTGTCACTGTTTTTCTTCTTGTCCAGATTGATGAATCAGAACATGCTTCGTGGTTCGATACCAAGTTTCAGCAACATGACAAACCTCACAAATTTGTGAGTCTCAATCTTGGCCAGCCGTATGATTTGCCTTAAGTCCTTCCAGAAGATACATGCATCAAAATGTCCAACGGAATTGTGTGAGTGGCAAAATCAATTTGACTAGCTGCAACGCCCTGAGCATATCTTGGGACCACCATCCGCGGACATTCTCGATATTCGAATTGTGGTACTTAATAAATTCTTGATTTCTGTTGCACAGAGACCTCAGTGCAAATATGTTATCGGGAACAATTCCAGACGATCTCATAGGATCTAGCGACATCCGTCAAATGTGAGTTCTTCAAATTGCACGGTCAAATTTAAGTTTTAAACCAATCAAATATGATATTTTCTTCTGACTGCCTGCTATCTGTGAGAAAGCTCATTCTGAAAGTAATGATTGATTGACCAGCATCTTGACCAATAACAATCTTTCTGGAGGCATCCCTGCATCTCTCTTCAAGCACACAACAGCTGATCAAATGTGAGTGCCACTTCCACACGAACGTGCGACGGCTTTTATTTTCGATGTTCCCAAGACATTGACGGGCTTTACCCATGCTCTGTGGGCTGACTCTTAGATATGGAACGGATTGTTGCATGAGTTAAATGCAACTGTTATCGTTGCATTGAATGAACAGGATGACAGCAACTGACAGAGTTTTCGTGTTAACAGAAGGATAGAACAAAATCCCCTGGGAGGAACTATCCCAGACCTGAGTGCACTAACGAGCTTGACTTATTTGTAAGTGTAACACTATCGTCTTCTTACCTTGAGTTTCTGAGCATCATCAACTGCAGGCAATCTCTGTGATATTGCAACTCACAATACTGACATTACGTGCATTCCACATTCCACATTTCTTGCAGATATCTGGAGAGGACAAACTTGACGGGAAGTATACCAGTTTCAGTTAAGAACTTGACGTCCGTGCAGCAGCTGTAAGTTTCTGACAGACAATTTCAGCAGAATTTTGAGAAACATTAATATACCTCTTCTTGTCCAACAATTCATTGTCCCTTTCTGACAAACCATATGCAGTAAGCTTGACAGATTTTAAGCTTTGAGAGAAATTTCCAGAATAAAATCTTGACATTTCTCAGTAAGCTGTAATATAAACTTGCAAGTAGCTAAATAACTAAATAATTCTGTAGAATCAATTACATATCGAGAATGTAAGAGAGAGTAAAAGTTTGAATTTTCTTTTGATTCTTTTCAGATCTTCTGAATCAGCTAACCTTCATATTTGACACAGAAATTTGAAATACAATCCTGAATTGAAGGGACCCCTTCCAGATTTCAGTGGATTGTCCAACCTTCAGTATCTGTGAGAATCTTCTGCCTTCTCAATCTTCAGAATCATGCATCGTCCTTTGATCTCCTCGTGTTGCAAGTGATTTCATAAGCTGGATGACGGACAACTGATCCAGCATTGGAATTAGGAGGTAGCTCTTATGACAACGTGCAGTGGATTTATTCAGACGTGATGGAAATTGCAGGGACTTGAGGAACTGTGGTTTTAGCGGCTCTCTGCCGGAATTAAAAGAATCATCGGGGCTGCTCGGAATGTAAGTGACGTATGTTGAAAGGCAAGAAAGCAGCTGTAATCAGCGTGTATTTTGAGAATAGCTAGTGCTCAGTTCCACATTGAAGCATGCAAAAAAATTGGGAAACATTGGAAGGTCCTCACCCGAATTTACTGGTTTCATCAGACAATTCTCCGGCAACAATTTCAGCGGATCGATTCCCCCTGCCCTGCTTCAAGCGAAAGCTCATGTTCAATGGCTGTAAGTGATTAACGACGGCCACATCACGCCCAAATTAAACCTCTCGAACCGTCTGAGTCTGATGATGAGGAGGTCACAAGGCAGTCCAGGCTATAGCAGCCAAGTTCCTTGTAACACTCCATTGCTATAGCTAACATTAGGATCTGGTAGATCAGATCGCATCCGTACTTTCTGCTTTTGTGCCAACAGGGATTTGTAAATAACATTTCATTACTACAGCTGTATATGAAAGTGTTTCTACGTGAACTCTGGCAGGGAAATGGAAGATAATCCTGGACTCTCAGGGACGGTTCCAGATGTGATTCAGATGACGGGTCTTGAGATTCTGTGAGCATCAAACCTTTGCAAATGTTAGAATCGTTCCATTCAAATTCAGATTCTGTACATGGGTTGCGCTAATGATTTCAATCTCAAGCGGGAGAGTAGAATGATCGATCAGAAATTTCATACATGCTCATCTGATGTTTTCCGTGTACAGCAAAATATACGACTGTAACGTGAGTGGACCTCTGCCTAGCTTCGAAACAAACATTTTGCTCAGATACTTGTAAGCTTGGCCCAAGCTCTTCACTATACCGATTTCTTGATTTCTGGCTACGCGTACACCTTTTCCTTGCTCTAGGAGAAGTTTGCATCGAGAAAATCAAGGATTTTATATGCAACTCAGAAACATCTCCATCATACTAGAATTTGACATCATATAAAAAGATCACATGAAGCGTATTCGTTTCTGCTAAATTTGAGTATTGAATTTTCTATCTCGTCTTAAAATCCTGTAATCCTTGAAATCCATGGAATTGCTGGTGTTTTACACCAGCAATTCCATGGAGTTTCCTAACCCTTCCTAAACCCTAATTCCATAAACGTGTACCAAGATACTTTTGACTCACTTTGCGTTTCAGGTAGCTTAATACTCAGACTGATCTCAGGTTTAGACTTACTATGTACAAGTATAATGAAAGACAAGGCTATCGAGCTTCTAGGCTCCAGGAAAACTGTTGTCACTGAATATGAACTCATACTTTCCAGGCTTGCGGAACACCCACATTCATCGATAAATCACCTTTATCCTGGCATGAATTGTACATTTTGTCGCGTAATAAAGCCCAGACAACGAAATCTAAGACTTCATCTTTGGTTTTCTGTCACCAGGTTGTTGCAGAATAACCATTTGACCGCGTTTCCTTCGGACATGAGAGTCTTGACTAAATTGCAGGGCATGTAAGTAGCCTACTTCCTCACAGATCCAGTAACAAGTTTGCGCGTTCTGATAGATTATGAATATGCGCACATTCAAAATCTATGCGAGCGTTTGCTGCTAGATGACGTAATTCGTGAATGTTTCTTAGCTTCTGACTTATTAGAGTGGCATGTTTAGATCTGTATTTTGAACTGGCCTGGTAGCTGAGAACTGCTTCTATCATTTGATTACAGAAATGTTGCGAACAACTCAATTTCGGGAGGCTTACCTCTCCTGCCTGCTGGTTCTACTCAAACAAATACGGATGGTTATCGACTCCAGGACCTGTACGCCATACCAAAACTCACAGTCGATTGGTGCATCATGCAGTGCATGCCTAATGTTCCAGTTTTTCTGTTCATATCTTTTAACAACGGTGATACTAGCTCTAATTGGGTAGAAAAATAAAATTGAGTCAACTGACTTGTTGTTTAATTACCAACAGAGATTTTAGCAACAACAACTTCTCTGGTGAACTTCCGGACTCTTGGAGTGAACTGAGTTTCTTAGAAAGCTTGTAAGTTACAGCGTCGTTTCTCGATCTCTCGCTGGAGTTTTGCTTTTGTGAGAAATGAGGGTCCATTATCAAGTTTAGTTAGTTCTTTCTTAACTCGATATCTCAAACGCTTCTTTGGTTCATGCTGATCGTCTCTAAATTTGGATACTGCCACTTCCATCAGGAATCTGAATTCCAACAGCCTCAGCGGAGTAATACCAGCGGACTTTGGGAATCTCACGAAGTTGACAACGCTGTAAGTAGAAATCCAGGAACCCATCGAATATTTTTCGGAAAATCGAGCATATGGATCGTAAATCAAACACGGACGGTGCCCATGGTCTCCAACATTTACTTTCTTATTCGATCGTTTTTTGTTCTCAAAAACCTACACTGGCCTGAAGAGGTATTTGTACAATGAAATCATAACGACGTTCGTGGTGATTTTTTCACCTGCAGAGAGCTGAGCAACAACAATTTTTCAGGACCCATTCCTGACGACCTCGGACGCCTTGCGAACCTGCTAACTTTGTAAGATACCATTCTTAATCCACTTGATTTTAGCCTACATCAGTTCCCATTTGCTCGTCCTCGTGGACCCGAAAACAGAAATACAGTGTACTCCTGTTAGCAAGTGTGGCTCTGCTACGCCAGGAGCTTGTCTAATCTGCATCGCTTCATGCCGAGCGAAATTCTGATAAGATGAGTGGCTAGTTTATCTCATGGACGTTTTCGTGGTATGAGCTGTTTCACTACAGCTGCCAAATTGACAGTTCACACTAACAATGGCTGGCTGGTTCCGTCTGAATATGATAGGGACCTGAGGAACAATCGTTTCAATGGTACCGTGCCTGCGTCGCTTGCCTTAATTTCAAACTTAACAGAGCTGTAAGTGACCATTTCAATAGAGTCAAAAGACATGTATCGTTACTGACTCTTTTCACCGCTGCAATGTTTGTATTTTCCAACCAGCTTTACGTGTTCCATTTCGACGTAATTGATGTATGAACAACAAGTCGGAGTTGTGCATCAAGAATAGTTTTAGTTGCGCAATACCATGAAGATGTGCAGAATCGCTTATATAGGTGTACCCTCTGAAAAACTATCAGTGAATATAATTAGAAAGATCTTAGCTTTACTCTCCACACTGTTGGGGACAATTTGGATCTCCAGCTTTACAGATGCTGACAATCCCACTTCTAATTTGAATTTGGGATCTACTTGCTGCAGGAGGCTGGAAAACAACAATTTTGACAAAATACCTGAAGCTCTTCTTCTGAAACAAGGCTTAAACATTACGTAAGCTTACACATTTAACAGTTTGTGCAAATTTGATTTCCAAGTTTATGATCTAGAGACAGGGACGTGCGGTATAACAAATGCGAATGCAAATTTGTTGCAGTTATGACCCCAATGTGGAGATAGTGAGTGAGAATAAATCGTCTTCTGGCTTTCCCACTGGAGGTATTGTCGGAGTCTCGGTTGGAGCAGCGGCTGTGGTTATTGCAATCTTAGCTATCATGCTGTACAGAAGCAGAAAGGTTAAGGATGGACACCACTTATCGCAAGGTACATTTCAACCTGAAGATATTCTGCCTGATCAGCTTCAGAAACTCCATAAGTTAGTCCAATCCACTCACAAATTGCTGCCTTCTGTACCTCAGAGGACATGCCGAAATCAGCCAAGGCATTTACGTTGAAGCAGATCAAAGAGATCACTGAGAACAAGAAAACTCTAATTGGAAAAGGAGGATTCGGAACAGTCTACTATGGCAAGCTGTCTGATGGTAAAGAAGTGGCAGTCAAAATCAGAGCACCCGATTCTAAGCAAGGGACAATAGAGTTTCTAAACGAGGTACACTTCATTTTCCAACCGTTTCTAGATGAAAACTATGAGTAATAATTTAGAAGGATTCTCAATATTCAGGAATCTCAAATTTACGATGTTGATGGATTGTTTAACTGACGAAGCCTTTGGGACCGAGCCTCTGGTTTCGGTTCGTTCTTTGTACGCCTTGGTAGGGTTTTCCCATACCTTATTATTCTCCACTTGGGCCCGCATTCAGTTTTCATTCAGCTGACGAATATCTGCCTCTGAGACAGGTTCGACTCCTATCAAAGCTGCATCACCGGAATCTGGTACCTTTGGTTGGCTACTGCCTGGAAGCAAACCAGCAGATTCTGATCTACACCTACATGCACAAACTGACCCTAGAACATCAGCTTCACCGCAGAGGTTAGTCATGTGAAGATTACGAGCTGAATGTATCCCAACTGATACAGCGTGAACTTTCTCAAGTTTCGATGACGTTTCTCTGGTCAGGGTCATCTAAGCAGAATACTTTAGTGATATGAAGAAATTTCACGAATTATTGAAATTTACTCTCCAGGTACTGGCGTCAATCCCCTGGATTCCAAGGCGGATGATTCTTCCACGAATGAGCATCTGAGCTGGAAAACGCGACTCAATATTGCTCTGGAAGCTGCACGAGGTGATTGTCCTCAATTTCAGCCTCTTACCTTTTCTAATGTGACATTAGATTCAGAGCACACAGAACCCCTTTCAGGTCTCGTGCTGATGAATTATCACAAACTTCTGCAGGTCTCGAGTACCTACACAAGGACTGCAAACCGCCGATCATACATCGGGATGTCAAATCATCCAACATTCTGCTGGGTGACAAACTTCAAGCCAAGGTTGCAGATCTGGGAATCTCAAAACAAGCCCCAGAACCAGACCCAGAAGCGCTAGACATGAGCGGAGTCTCCACTGCAATCAAAGGCACCTTCGGCTATCTAGATCCAGAGTAAGGCTCTGAATCTTACCCAGTCTCATCCACCTCGTTTTGGCAGCTCAGTGCGCCAAAATGCAGCACAACTGTCACGTTTACAAATTCCTGAGCAGATAAACTGCACTGACCAATTCCTCTTCGATGTCCGCTGCAGATATTACGTCAGACGAAAGCTTACGACGAAGAGCGACGTTTTCAGTTTTGGAGTCGTGCTTCTGGAAGTGATCACTGGCAAGCGGCCAGTGAGTGATAAATTTCCCGACAGTACCGAAACAAACTTGATTGAATGGGTAAGATCGTCAAAATTTCATTTATCAAAATTCAACATTTTTATTCGTAACTAAAAAACCATTGCATAGATTTTAGGACAAAGTAAGAAAGTGAAATGTAGTAGCAATAAGATCTACCTATTTCTTCATGAAATTTAACACACAATTTAAACTATAAAATCAAAAACTTTTCTAACTGAATAATAAGGTAATGATATCACAAAAAAAGATACACTGTGTCCCTCATTTATGAAATATTTCTATCTTCAAAATTGTAAAAACTGTAACAAACACATGCGAAATGTCAGTTGAAGCAGCTTTGATCACTCGCTCATGCATGCACAGCAGTACGATCAGATCGATGCAAACAAGAGTTTTCAGTCCCTGATTCTCCTTTGAAACAAGTTTGGAGTTATTGGGATTGAGTATTGAGATGCCTTCCATTGATGTGGATGAATGGCAGGTTCGAGCTGCAGTGCGGGATGGCCAGGTCGACACTATCGTGGATCCGTCGTTGGGAGGTGAGTACGAGCAAGAAGGAGTGCTCCTGGTGACGAGACTGGCGCTTTCGTGCATTCTGCCCAACGGCGCAGAGAGGCCAGACATGGGCGAGGTTATGAATGTTCTCACTGAGGCCCTGCAAATGGAAGGCGAAATCATCGAGCATCAGGAGCACGCTGCTCACCCAACTGTCCCATACTCTGGGCAGCTGAAGCCCGGATTTCCTCCGGAGACTTTCACGGTTAATTCTGACTCTTACCCATCGTCTGAGGTTTACACTCATCCATCTTGGAACACGGACCCCAGATAGATCGATCTTGAGAGGAAACGGATGTCAATCGATCTGTTGCGGCTCAGATTCATTATATGATTCGCTTCAATTCAGCTTCTACAGATTTTAGCTCCCATTGTCGAGCACAAAGTTTCCTTCGAGTTTAAACCCAGTGGTGCTTCCTTGGGCCCCAGAATGTTTATAAATTGTCCGTGAAGTAGCTACGAGGAAGAAGACACCTCACTTGTTTCTGTTCTAGTTTGGAGATCGTAATCAAGAGTTTTGAAGCCCAAAACGCAATATTCTATGATTTCTGTGATAAATGGGCATGAATTTTGCAGATTTTGATGAATTTTTTTCACGCAATATTCTCCACTTTTCTTCAGAATGCATCAACGTTCATGCATTCATTCATTATATCCTTATATCGATGATTACAACGATTGGAAATGACATGCACAACGGAGTGCATTACCAACGACCACAATGTCTAAACCTCTCTGACCATTGGAGCCTCAAATTTTGGCAGTTTTGGACCTTTTAGCATGACTTGGTGTACCCCATCCTGCATGATTTTAACACTTCAAATTCTTCTAACACACGAGAACCATATATTCTGGAAGCAAGGTTGTATACTTTCTGTTGCTAGATATGAGTCATAAGAGAGCATTAGTGTTCTGCGAATTCTTATGTTTTTTGTACAGCCAGGTATCATATAGTATATTTCTATATTAACGGGGATTAAAGTATATGAGTAACATTATAGCTCTAGCAACAATTAACAGAGCTAGCATGTTACTCTTATAGCTTTATACATGTCTTTCTTGTGTATCTTGTGGTTTTATTGTGTATTCGACTGGATATCAATAAACTGATAATCCAGGAAATTTATGTTTATATATGAAAAATATTACAAACAGATTAATCTTGATCTTGTATGAGGATTAAGTAGCGTATCTTGAAAGTGAAGCAAACCTTGAAGCTGATAAATCAGATGTAATTTTCATTGATTACAGTTCAAAATCAAAATTCAGACTAACATTCTTTCGTAGTTCTTAGTGTTTTCAAGCTCATTTCTTCCTATGATATTTTTTCCTATTTCCTATGCTTTTGCTTCCTGTTATTTATGCAGGATGTTAATTGATCAACGGAATTGTTTCCTACGCGCTAAGCGACGTTGCAGCGAGGTTAACATTGATAATGGTATTGCTGATCCATTTAGTAATCAGCTGATAGCCCAACTGTCACGGCAAAGCTACCACTCTGATGATGAAATCTCATGACTTAGTGAGGGCTCTTTTCTTATTATCACCATTTGATTAACACGATACCCTTGACCTGCTGTAAACAATGACTTGTTATCTGTAGTCACTAGCTCCTAAAAATCTAGCCACTTCCACCGATCTGATTTTACAGAAACTCTATAATTGAAGCTTCTAGATTCAAGCCTTGAAAGCCTGAAGTAGTCCTTGAAATCAAATTATGGACCCACCATAGTCACATATTGCTCAACATTCACGACGCCTGACTTCACCTTGTACATGGCAATGGGGCGATATTATATATATATATATATATATATAAAGAGACAGACGGACAGACTTGACGGAAGAAAAGTTTTTGGGGACAAATTTCGAGCATGGCGGTCAAGTGAAGGATGCCAAGCTATTTTGAATTAATCATAGTTGAAATTTTTAACAAATGATCGCCTTGGTATAATCTCAAAGCAACAAACTTTGCACAAATCATGCGCGATTTCAACGTGACCTTGCTCGCTCGTGAAGGAAATGAAGTTATTTGCGAAGCTTCACAGCGTTCTGGTGATGGAAGTGTACATACTTACTTCAAACGTGCTATGTTTTTTAGATGGGTGACTAAATCTGGCACCGCAGAGAAGAATGCAGAATGGTCACTATCCTTCAGATAAAACTTCTGAACTGGTGGGTTCCTGTTGGTTATATTTACCTGAACGTCAAAAGGAATCATCTTGTCCAATCCACATAGTATGTAATATCGATTAATTGACCCGTATCTCTTCGGTGTGAGTGTCATGACCTCCTCGAAAACACTGTAAGGTGTATCGCCTAGTACAGATAAAGCCAAATTGATTTGCTGCGGAAACCCCCACCAGATCTATAAGTGTTCATCATAAGTCGAGGACCCCTTGCTGGACTTGGTTTATATTCATGGTAACTTATAACGCAAAAACCTGTACTAATTTTCAATCATGACTCGAGAAAGGCACGCCTTTTTCGTAAACAGGCTTGAAGTAAGCACCAGAGGGAGACTGCATGAACAACAAGAAGAAGGTTGGAATTGTCAAAACTGATCACGTACCTCAGCTGGGCTCTGATTGTAGAACCATGACGGAGCAATCGTGAGATTTATTGCAACTGATGTTGGGGATGAACTTCCGGCAGATTGTTGGGGTTTGAAGACACCTAACTGCAGGAGGGTTGCAAAGTGCTGCATGCAATACAAGATACAGAGCAAGATATGAGCATGTATCAATACTGATTCGAACAGTCTCTCTAAACTTGCTGGACATGACACTGAATTCGTGGAGAAGTAGCCTAAACCTCAGAACTCACTTACACAGCGAGAGGAGATCGCAAAAGCGTTTCTTAATGAATTAAACGAAAGAAAATTCAGTGAAGTTTAGTACGTTTGAATACTTATGGGAAGAAGAATGATGAGATAACATACACTGCCGATGACGTCGAGCGGGGTTTCGCCATCTTGGGGCATAATTGCTGAGAGAAAAATGGCCTTATCAACCTTATCAGGGTGCGCTTCCATGGCGTAAGACACCAAGACTCCTCCTAGGCTGTGCCCTACCAGAACGACCTGCTTGAGCAAAATATCATTAGGTAGATTGGAATAAAAATGTTAAAGACTGACTTCACCTTCATGTGAGGGAATTCTATCCCACCTTCAAATGGCTTGTCAAAAATGTTCAGGCACAGGACACATTTTCATGTATCTCAGCATTCAACTAGATGGCTATCATGGCCACTACCCTAAAGAGAATAACAGAAGACCAGCCAAGTTTTCAATACATTATTTAGTTGGTGAAAGATATGTAAACCAGCTTTTAATGATTGATGAACTCTCTTGGAACGACTGTCAGGAAACTTATTAGTAAAACCTCGGTACTCATCGCCCTGAATGCCGTTTGCGCATTGGATTTTTTCCAGCTACGACCATTGACGAGCTGTATCGATAATATCCATGAGGTGAGAGGAGGTGAGATGAGGAACAGACCTTCGGATCGGATGCAGACTGATCTGACAAGAAATCTGTCAAGGGCTTGGCATATTGGGATATAGTCTTTACGTTATCAGCAGCCGTCTTATCTACTCCGCCGGACGTTAGATCCAGTGTCACTGCGTTAAAACCTGCAGCCTGCATCAAGGTAACAACTTGGTACCAGCACCACGCCCCATGACCAGCCCCATGCACGAAAACCATGGTCCGCTTTGCAGGAGCAGCATCAGCATCAGCACCTGTCTGATGCATCTGCAGCTGCACACATTCACATTATAGTTCATCAGCTTTTGCATGTCAACACTGGACACTTCAGTGCAGTGAAGCTTGAAGTTGGGATGATATTTCTGAAGGAAATATAGCAAGTCTTGATTTGTTGGATGCTTTGAGTTTCAGTCGGTATCCCAGAACAGTATTAAGCTCTCATTTTCCATACAGTGGAACATTCCATGCCATGCAATAAACAGTAGCAAGTCTTGAGAATGTTATCAAGGATTACAAACGTTCAACTCTTTGTACATCTCTCATTGGTGGCTTGCCGTGCCTGTAAGATTTCAGTCATACACTGAGACTCGTCCTAACCATGTTTGTAAGACCACATGCACATTTCAGACTAGAAATGGTCTAAGCATTAAAACTGCGGAACTCTTTTAGCTCATTTCCTTAGCAGATGACCATATGACAGCAGTGGCCACTTATGTTCCAACCATTGAAACGGAGTCCGACGAGGAATGTCAATTCGCACCAATTCCTCTGCAAGTTATCTTAGCCGAAATTCGTAGTAGTGATCTCTACAACTCGAAAATCTACCCTTCGTTCCAGTTATTACACAGTACAAATCCTGCATATCTATCTTCAGTCGAATTTTCTTATTGTGGAAACACAGAACTATCAGAGGAGATGGCTCTCACAATAGTTGCGCTGACTGGCGTCGTTAATGAAGACAGAGGGCTGCAGGTGAGAAGAAACATCGCTGCCATCAGTGGATAATTCATGATCCCCCTGTTTATTTTTCGAATAACCTGCAAGGATGTCAACTGAGGAGAGGCGGAACAAAGTCCCTGCAACGATGGTGCTTGAACTAAAAGGACCGAGCTCAGACCGGCATTTATACTCTTCCATCTACGAGAACAGCCAGTTCAACGAGTAACCGTTTACAAGAGTTAGTACAATTTGCCTATACACGTTCAAGGTGTTGTCCCGATTTGATTCACCACTTCTGCCATTTGCAAGAAGACTGACTCCAGAGTCATCTTAAGGATTTCTGTAATAGAATACGAAAGCCTTGAAGACTGACTCCAGAGTCATCTTAAGGATTTCTGTAATAGAATACGAAAGCCTTGAGGACTTCATTTGAATTAAAATTCTGATTAGCCCGAGAGTCACATGTCATTGAGTGATGTCAGTCCTACTCATGAGGTGGAACTCAGGAAAGCAAGTACTACATGCTCTAGCTGATTTCTCTAGCTTGCAAACTTTTCTTCAAGCTTTCACATTTTGTTCTTAGATTTTTGTACGATCTACTTTGCACAAAAAGTACTTTCGTATTCTATATATTTGCCCTTTATCCTATAGGCGAAATGGCCTCCTTCGGCTCTCTCCCAGAAAGCTTTTGGGAGTACAAAAGCCCTTCTTTGGATTCACTACCTTCGAGTCCTACCTCGATTGCAGCACAGAAGTATTCAGCTTTCATACTGTGCTTCAAATATTAAAGCAAAAAAAAGGACTATGTTGTTCCAAAGTTAATCAAGCAAGTGAAAGTGCCTACCGATCAGTCCTCTTCTACGTCAAGCTTCTTCAAAGGGTACTTACGAGAGGATAGAGCACCTTGCTCATACATGACTGGCATTTCTTTCGTGAGAGATCTCGTTACTTTATCACGAAGATCAGATGCCTCACATCTTGATGGCATGATAGAAGACCTTGCTAGAAAGTCAATACGAGCTGTTTACTCGTATTGATCAGTATGAATAAATGAGATAAACTCAGAAAACGGCAGATTCTGAGTATGTAAATTAACATTGACATTGTCTCAGCTAACGTCTCATCCCCAGAGCTCCTCAATCAGAACATCTGTGCTTTGTTCGCTAAGTGCTGCCATTTACAAACGTACGAAATTCGCTAACGCTCAATGCGAAAGAAATATAGAAGTACAGAACGATAAAAAGTAGCAATATTATTGCCCTCTGAAGTAAATAAGGGCTCCTTACTACTTCTGCCGAATGAACTCTACCAGAAGATGACACGGTGCTTCTTGAATGTATGAACTAAATTCAACCAAAAATGTCCTTTATTCTCAGTCTGTCAATGGATCTTTATATAAAGGTATTATCCAAGAGGAAAACAAAAGAAAACAGATTATTATCCAGGTATTATCCAGAAGAAAACAAACTCAGAAGTAGCAGGCCCTTAGAGAATAGTAAAAGGTAGTCTCTCTTAACAACTGCAGTATGATTAAATTCTTTGCACGACAAGCTATCATCTGCAATTTATGTAGACAGCACAGCATTCACGTTCTCACACCTAGTTGTCCTTTAAATGTAATTTCAACCATAGCAATGTACCTACCAACAAGGTGGTCGGCGCCTGCCCTGCTACTTGTATTTGTACCGCATCCATGTGTTATCAATGAATCACACCTATCGTATGGAGACCTTGTTTCCTGTCCGTATTGTGCAAGTGCATCTACTCACTTGAACTTCCTGAAATGTCCAACTAAAACTGCCACCCCTTGTTCGCATGTCTGGAAATGGTTAGAATGTTGGGCAGTCCGGTATCTTCGAGCGATGCAAACTCCAGGATTGATTTTACGAGAGAATTACAAACAGAAGGCAACAGGCGAGGGTTACTTGAGCTCCCAATTATCTGTTCACATATCGTGGAAGAGCTAGAAAAGAAGAGGAATGCCTACAACCATGCTGGTCTATGACATTCTGAAGATTGCGTGGACTATCTTGGCCGTCTCCTTTGTTGCAGCTCAAGTTGCAACCTTAGGCGTTGCTCTAACGCTGGTTTTCTCAAGTTTGCTGATATTATTCACGATCTTGGTCTCTGCTGTTGCCGTGTGCACACACCCAGAACAAGCTGCTGCAGAAGAAGATTTATGGTCTGAAGACAGGAATCTTTCTAAGAACATGTTTGTTCAGAGAGGAATAGGTGCCCCTTGAAACTCCTCAATGAGTTTTGATTTTTACATGGTATTTTGGATTCAACGGAATCGTCACTCCTTCGTAGAATCAATGGCCTGATCTGATATGTTTAGTGATGTCTACTTCAGTGGGCACTGTTCTGAGGACCCAACGTATTTCGGTCGTTAAAAAAACTGGAAGATGAGGGGAATTTCTCTTCAGGTAATATGCAGATAGAGTAAGGGCTGAGATTACACACCAAAAAAATAGAAAATAACATTGATACATGTAATCTGTCCCAAGGGTTCTTAAATTAGATCTTCCAGGTTGAGTTTTTTAAACTGATTGGCAACATAGTGAGAAACACAAATCATAATTCAGTCCGGTACCTACATTACTGCAGTTAAGAGCTATCATCACTCAAAACTGTCCACGAAAGTTCTTAAGATCATCAATACTGTATCAGATACAAGAAGGTTTGTTTTATAGCGAAGAGTTCGCAGATTGAGAGTACTCATTGCTGCAGCACAGACACTTCCATTTTCCATTCATGGTCTCATGATCACTTCTGTATGTGAAATACGATCTAGCATGAATCCTGCATGTGATGATTGGCAAACTAAAATACTAATAATACTACAGCCTAGATCTACGAAAGAGATCAAATGGCAATGCATTCTTGTCGCATAACTCCACATCTTGAAGTGATCAGGGCTAATATTTTACTTCCATAATTCAGATTCAGAGTCGTTTTCCTTCCTGATGGTCTGTATTATAAAGCTTGATCCAATAGTTGGGTTTGTGGATGTAACTGAAACTTCGTTATAGGCATCTGGCATAATTGACCTCAAGTGAAACTACGACATATGAGAATCATCAGTCGAACTTCCCTCCCTTGCAATCGCTCTTCTTCTCAGACCTTCTTTGTGCTCCTCACTTTCCCTTTCCCTTTCCCTGCTCTGAGTTCTGGGCTCTTCGACCTCTAAATTGCATCTTTCAAGGTAAGGCGAAGAATCTCATGAGCACGATCTTCTGTATGTTCTGATTTCGTATATGCAGATCAAACCTGAGCATTGAAGTGCAGACTGAGCCGCCTTGATCTGCTGACCATGACCAGATTCTATATAATCGGACTAATATCAACCTTTTCCATGTTGAGAACCTCTTTGAGAGCTTGACACAATTGTTCTCAGTGATTTTCTCGTGGAAAGTGTATTCATGATTTCTTAACCACTACGAATTATTATCGGGGTCCATAGATTGAAATGTTGTGGATTTATTGATTTTGACACAGCAACTATTGGAAACCGAGTCAATCCATGCCATAAGCTAAGCATGCCGTCCATATATCCGCCTGGCATGACTGTTGGCATGGAAAAAAGCCAGAGCTTACTCAGTGCCTTCTCAGCCTGTTTGCCAGCACCCTAGAGTCTTCATCAATTCATCAGAAATAATGTTCAAAGTGCTCAGTACAAAGGTTGCAAGAACTTTGTAAAATCTGAGCTGAGATTTTTACCGATCTTGAATGCCTGAAGCTCTGTTCAGATGGCACCATACGCGTTGGTTATTTGTTGGGTTTCTTGGATCGGAGTGATGAAATCAAAAGTTAAATCAAGCGCCCAGACTTTCTCAACATGATTGCAAGGTAGATAGGATGGGCTCACAACATTCCAACCCAAATTTTAGAAATGCAATCTAGTGTATGCTATTGTTTCCCCAACCCAACTGAGTAATTCATCTACAGACACTGCAGTGATGGAATATTGGCTTCGAATCCATAGACCTCATGAGAAAACAAACCAGAAACACCCTAGGGACGAAGAAACAAAACTGTAACGCATCACCATAGACTGTTTCCATCTGGATGTTGTGATGTGGTGCCAGTTATAAGGTGGGAAGTCTCTCTCAAGGTGGAATAACTCGGGATGGCAACGAAGAAAGGTCGAGAGCTTTAGCAGGATTCTTCTTGTTCTTGACTTATTGACCACATTCACAATACAAAGATTTGGGATGAAAAGATTGAGGTATCGAACAAGTAAATATCACACGGTACTTTCCAGCCGTATTAATTCCGAAGGGACCATAGTTCATTATGTTAAGAGCCGAACGATGCTGAAGTAAAGGATTAAAGCCAGCTCCAGCATCAGCAACATTAATAGACATCGTTGAAGTAGTAACAATACGGAGTCGCATGACTAGAACATTAATTTGCCATGGAATCATTACTTAAACATCAACAACCGCATGCACTGCAAATAGTGGTCGGAATATCAGTACATTCTATCGACCTTCCCTCAAGGCGTGAAACGTAGAAAGGGTAAAACCAAAGATTCCACTCCTTCCTCTCTCTCTCTTACATGCAACATTGCGACCATATCTATTCACAAAATGACATATCACAGTTTGCTTTCGTTGTTTCACAGACGAGCTGATGTTTATATCACAATTTTACTGCAAGTTTTGATATCAAATAGATCAATCCATTCTCCGATTCTCACTATTATGGATACTACTCTCAAGGGATCAGGAGTTCAGCAGTTAACACCTTCTTCTCTTGAATATATAACATCGCACTCAATTGCCTATTGAAAATGTTGAGTAGTTGCTCTCTTGAATGAGATAAAAAGCACAGCTTTGATATACCCCATCGATCGGAAACACAGAAATGTATACACTGCACTGCGTCATGATCTTTAAGATATATGGATCCAAACTCTAGCTTTTTAAAGCCATGAGATGAGTATGATGTTTATGTGGAAGACCGAGTTTCCACAGAAATACCTTAGTAGTAGAGTTAAAAAAACAAATCTCTTGATTGCAACTCGGTATCTTCAATCTTCCACCGAAGTCAGATTCTTAGCGTTTAGAAGTTATCGTAAGAGTTCTCCAGTAGTAAAATCGGCAAGCAATCGGTACATCTACAGAGAACATTTGACTAA